CTTCTCCTTCAAAGACACTTTATGCCCTAGACTGTAAACTGCCCTAATCGCACGTTTTTGGAGAACTAAGACTCTATTAATATCGGCGGCATTACGCCAAAGTAAAATACCCAAAGTCATTAAACTGTGAAAGTAGCAAATCTTCTTTTTCGAGTTATCACATTATTAGACTAAGAGATTTTTAGTATCTAAATGCTATATGAACTTTTATTTACTCGATATAATACCAAATAAGAAAATACATGTAAATTTTCTGGAATAGTTGGTAACAGTCATAATAATATATTGTTATGTACCTATATAAAATTTGCATAATTCAAAACAAAATAATATAACGAATTGGTTTGTCAATTATTATTAATACGAACAAACACAATCGGACAAACACAGCACAGCCACAACGACAACACAACCGGATTCCAACCAGCGCCTATTTGCCAGACCAGGGCTAATCGCTCTCCCAATTGAACTACAAAACGAATCAGCAGACCTCACGAATTTCTGTATGTGCCTGTTGCCGATCTTTATTTTCGGTTTAAAAGGTTTTTTTGCCGTAGCGCCATCTGTGACCAATCTATAAAGGTGGAGTGAAGAAAAAGTTTGATAAATTTCTCACAGGTAAGAGAAGGAAGGAATTTCTCTGTGTTCGATCTTTGTAATAACAGTTATAACTAGTGGAGTTATTTCACAAAAAATAAATTAATATCATGGTAGTAAAACAATCATAATATTTATTACAATATTACATTTTTACCATCAACTTTATCATTATTATATCACTACAAAATGATTCGCATGTTACTTGATAACAAAGACTTTGTTATTCATTTGTTTTATTCTTAGATATTAGCAGCAGTAGAGCTCCCTGTGAAAGAGTTCATCCAGAGCAATACTGCCACTTTACCTATTTCTGCCGCCAAGCAGTAATGTTAACATTACTGCATTCCGGCTTAGAAAGGCAAGGATGCTGGTGATATTACAGGCACATGGGACTTGTCAACTTATGTCTCATGGTGACGGGCGCATTGGCAGTGCCCCTCAGATCTTCGCGATTTAAAGCTCCGAGTCGCACTGCAACTGTTATGGACAGGCATGTAGCTTACCATCAGGCGCACGACTTGTCCGTCCCGTCACTTGATACATAGGGCGCACTATATGTTTGGCGGAACTGACCACTTACATGAACAATATTTAAAAAGTAATTACAACATTTGAAAATGGAACTCTTTGGCTGTAGAATACAGTTTGTTTAATCTGATTCACTTGTTTTCACATTGTGGCGTCATTTTGAAAATTGGTCGTCTACATCATTTTCGTAGTATGATTTTCTACGACATTAAGTGTAATTTAACAGCTCAGCGGACCTTCCCTCGACTTCAAACTGCCTTTGGCGATGAAACACCATGCAAGACGACTATTTATAGCTAGGTTGCAGAATTTAAACGCGGTCGTGTGAATCTCGGTGACGAATTTCGTGATAGCATAGGCATGAGTCAAATACAATCAATACTACACAAATATTTGGGTGTGAAAAAGCTGTGCTCTCGGTGTATCCCACACAATTTGACTGAGGCTCTAAAAATGAATCGCGCCACTTGGTGCAATGTCATGCTTACCAGATTCAATGAAGGGGCGTCAAATTTGGTGAGGAACATAGTAATATGTGACGAAATATGGATTTATAGTTACGATCCCAAAACGTTTCAAGTTGAGCCTAAACCAAGCAAAGTGGCGCACGAACAAAGTGCCTCTAAGCGGATGATTGCTTCTTTTTTTAATGAAACTGGACACGTGGCTACTGTTGCTTTGGAGAATCGTTGTACCATGAATAATGATTGATACATGACCATTTGTTTGCCAGAAGTTATTGACAAACTCCGTAAAAATACCCGTAAACGCCGTATCATCTTGCACCACGATAATGCCAGTTCTCACACGGTCGGACAGACAAATGAATTTTTGAAGGTGAACAACGTTGACCTTATGAGCCTGTTTTGAGACTTTTATTTATTTCCAAAAATTAAGAACCAGTTACGCGGATAACGATTTTCATTAGCTAAAGAGGCTGTCGAAGAGTATGAAAAATACGTTTCAGAGATTGTCACGGAGGAGTGGAATAAATGTTTTCACAATTGGTTCATTCGTATGAAAAAGTGCATTAACGCTAACGGAGAATATTTTGAGAAACAATAAATTCATTTCCAACCATTTATATTATTTTTTTCTTATTCATTCGGGAAACTTATAGTGCGCCCCACGTATTATAAAAAAAAAGAGATTTCTCATAGATGACTATTTTTCTTTGTTTCTTCGTTCATTAATAATAACACCGAACTAGTAGAGCATTTTCGCAAAAAATATATGAATAGTTAAAGAAATATATGAGTAGTAAACACATCGTGATTTTCCGTGGAATAGAAACATTGCAATTTGTCGATTTTCGGTTCATAATCTTTAATGCCAGGATTATCTTTAAGTTGTCCAAAATTCCACAATGCACGTCTATTATTAAATTGTTACAACAGAGAATCTTTCATCCGTATAAACTTTAAAAGTTTCAACATCTATACATAGAACGGACTCAAGAAATGTCTATCCCAATTTAACGCTCGGTTTTCCAACAGTCAACGATTACTATATATTTTTATACTCGGCAGAGATGGGGTATAAATTTTAACGCGCCAGGGAAACTGTCTGCCCTTATCTGCCCTGTATCAAAAATATCGTGAATTGATAAGACAATTTCCAGATTGAGCTGTTTGTTGTTTTTTATACATAAAACACAAACTTGCAGTTAAAACAAAAACCAGTTTCTTGGTTCGCCTGGTGGAAAGGTTTTTGTCACATTTTAGTAGTAGTAGAGTTCCTTGAGAAAGAGTTCGTCCAGGAGCGTACTGCCACCTTGCCTATTTCTGCCACCAAGCTCATTAATGCGTTCCGGTTTTAAAGGATGTAGGTGCTGGTGAAATTACAGACAGATGAGACTTGTCTTATGTCTCAGGGTGATGGGCGCGGTGGCAGTGCCTCTCAGATCTAATAAGTCTAATAAATCAATTCCATTTTCAAGTATTTAATTTACTATAGAAAATTTAGAGCTTTTTTTATTGATTGTGAAAAATTTTATTTAAAAATTTAAGTACAGCCGAGAGACGATAAAAAAGCTCACTACACACTTTTGTCGACTTATAGTAAAGCTCCTTGTGACAGAGTTTGTCCAGGGAAATACTGTCACCTTATCTATGTTTCCCGCCAAGCAGTAATGTGAGCATTACGTGTTCCAGTTTTGAAGGGTAAGAGTGCTGGTGAAATTACAGGATTTACCAAGTTATGTGTCTGGGTGATTTCTTTTTTTTATACTAGGGCCTATGTCTCTGTAATCGTTGTGACTTAAAACTCTGAGTGGCACTGCTACTGTTATGGACAGGCGTGTCGCTTACTACCAGGCGCATTATTTGTTCATGATATAATAAACGACTTGTGTTTATGATACAAAAAGAAAGCAACACCTTTAACGCCTCATAAATTAATATGCCGTCTCGAGTTTTACTTTAATAAAGTATAGGAGAGCATAAATTGGACGGAGTAGCGATTCCCTGCCGAAGCACAGCAGTTTTTTTTTCGTTTGACAAAAGACTAAAGACTGCTGACAGTTCTGCACATTAGCGCGCCTAAAGATTACAATTGAATATTTTTTCCTCTTAACATGGTGACTTTTGACCTTAATTATTTCAGGTTCAGGAACGAAATACAAAATTTAGACAACATTTCAACACGTCACTATACTTTTTTTTCATATTTGTTACTCGATATCATAAAAAACTACATCTTGCGTACTAAAGAAATATACTTGAAATCGCAAAGTAATGGCCAGTCGTAATATGTGAGATCTTGTCTGTTGTACCTGATTGCGTTGACTCCACTTATCTTTGAAACCAAAACACAGCCGTGTTGCTATGCGGAAGTAATATGTATGACGCCTAGCCAGACAGTTTTCTTTTTTATTTTTGTTTTATCTGGTCCCAAATAAGGAATGTACAGGTACAATGATCAAAGCAACGAAATTAGCCTAAGCACAAACCAAATCACCCAGACCAGAAGAAACATAAAATCATAGTAGAATAAAACAAATATGCATGTGTGCGCAACCACCGCGTGTCGTGTACGGACGCACACGCGTCTCCTTTGATTATGCAAATATGTGCGTCTACGCACGGGCGGCGTGGCGGCGGGCGCGCACACATACAAGCCGCGTTGCGACATTTGTACGTAGTTACCATACTTGTTCATATTCTACTATGCTAAAACTGTTCGTAGTTTGAATTGGTTGTACCTGTAATAATGATTAGATTACTCATCAGATCGTCGCTAAGAAAATGTGAAATTGGTAATGTTTCAAATATATTACAAACAGATATTTTTTTTATGATACCAATGGACGGGACGGACAAATCGTGCGCCTGGTATTAAGCGACACGCCTGTCCATTGCAGTTACAGCGCCACTCAGAGCTTTAAATCGCAATCCTCTGATCCCTTACACTTCATAAACGGAACACAGTAATGCTCACATTACTGCTTGGCGAGAAAAATAGGTAAGTTGGTTGTACTTTCTTGGACGAAGTCTTTTACAAGGAGCTCTATTAGTTGCATGAAAATCATTAGAGAATAAATTAAAATGTCCAATGATGAATGATGAATTATAGTAATTATGAAAAATACAATATTTAACAGTTTTTCAAAACATTTCAATGATTATTTTCAACAAAAATACAGATCATGTTAAACAAATCAACACGTTTATTATTCATCTACGTGAGCCACGATGATTACATCAATAATAAAAAAAAATGGAAATTAGCATGAATCCAACGAACATTTTGACAAATGAAAAATTTAAAATGGATAGGACACATATCTAAAATAAAGCAATTTATAAATACGTTTTGGGAAAGTGTGGCAAAAAAATATGAAAATCGGCAACGCATTAAAATTTTAAAGCCTCGTAAAAATATTGGCCATTTTAGATTTCATTTCCATATTGGGTGCGATTGCCTATTTCTGTATTCTGGGTTGTTTAACTTGTACCGGGATTGTTACGAGAGCATGGATTGGGTAAGAATATTTTTATATTAAATATTGTTTGTGGAAAAATTGTGTTTTGAAACATCGATACGTTGATAAAACATGTGGGCATATAAAAATGGCGTTGTTGGATGCAGTTTCCTCTATATAATTTTTACGGGAAAAATTTTCGAAGTACTGAATTATAAATGTTTAGTAACATATATAAAAGTTCACCTACATATATTCGATTAGAAAAACGAAATGGTGGTGCTTTTTTTTCAAATATGAGATATTTACTAGCGAAATTAAAAGCACACAGGACTATGTGTGTACTCGAAACTGGGATGTTATTGGCGAATCAAGTTCTAGGAATTTTTCACCCTTGCCTTTGCGTTCCCAAGTTCTTTTGCCAAGAAATCGTTAAAATATCCTCATAAATAAAAAAAAATACGATTCATCGGATGAAACAAACATTTGCGTTTCATTTCATAAACAAACATTAATTAAATGGAAATTTCTTTTACAGAATTCAATCGTTTTGTTCATTCTCGTAATTCTGGTACAAACAGATGCTGTACGGCTTCATACCATTTTTCAGTACCTAGAAGGTTACAAATCAAACTATAAACTAAGAGGCTTCCTTCATCTAGGAAATGACTATGCTGTTTTCGTGAGGCTTCCTAAGGCTCACGACAAATATCTCGTATACGAATTGTATGAGTCCAAAAAAAGTAACCATCACACCTCGCCCAGGGATAGGTCCACTCCGAGAATTGTAGCAATATCGAAAGTCCCTGTAGAATATCTGAAGGAACAACTGAAAATATACAGAGAAGAATTGTATAAAGCAAAGTATGTAGACGCAAACTCTGTGCCGGGGACACAAGTTAAAAGTTTAAGAGAATGGCAGATACACCAAGCACTGAAATCACCAAATGGAACAAAACTAAGTGATAAACCTATTTTGAGGTCCTTGGTGCTATAAGTTATAAAATATGATAATATTTTGACTACTAGTATAATAGTTACCATAATTTTAATTTGATTTGTTTTCACATTCATCGATGTTGTTAGTTGGGCTATAATAAGAACAGGTTTATTTTAAGTTGATATTTCATGAATAAATTTTACTATTCTGTTGGATTTTACTATTTTACATAGACAAATATGAATGTAACTAACTCCAGTCCTTACATATAATATGGCTCAAACTTTCTCGGCAGAAGAAACTCGTACCAGCTGTGGACTCGAGAAGGTCATAATAATCTAACGTCAAATAATAATCTGGTTTTCTAATCTAAACCCACGTTCAATATTTGGTTAACGATTTTTGACCTAGTTTAACAAACTAGATTGAACTAAGCTCAAGGGAACTACGGTCTCGATATTGGTTACAATATTACAGCATCGTTGTGCTGAACGAAAAATTTCTGAACATAAATAAAATATATTATTAAGTATTACAGCGTTTAAGATTTCTGCCATCGTTATCAGAACTGCCAACGTAACATAACGGGTTCTATTTACCGCGTATTATTTGTTGAGTAACAATACAACACGAATATTATTCATTGCACACAAGAACAAATACGTAACAAAAACAAACAAAATACAAACAGGCGGCTTCATCGCTGGATAGCAATCTGTTCCACAGGCAACCTCCGGGTTACAGGATAAACTTAAAGGTATTTTTTTTTACAATGTCAAGTGACGGGACATACAAATCATGCACGTGATGGTAAGCTACACGCCTGTCCATAACAGTTGCAGTGCCACTCAGAGCTTTAAATCGCAAAGATCTGAAGGGCACTGCCACTGCGCTCGTCACCCTGAGACATAAGTTGACAAGTCTCATGTGCCTGTAATGTCACCAGCACCCTTACCCTTCAAAACCGGAACACAGTAATGCTGACATTACTGCTTGGTGGCAGAAATAGGCAAGGTGGCAATAGTTCCCAGGACGAACTTTTTCACAAGGAGCTCTACTGCTACTATTTTACTAATAAATTATTTTATTCAGCGAGTAGCGTTGTATTAATAATTATAATTAAATAATAATTTAAATGTAATGCAATTAAATTGTAATTATAATGCAGGGGTGCACGAAAGAAGCCTCCTCGCACGACGTATCAGTTCTTTTCTGTATGTCTGGCACACTCTGACTAACAATCGGTGAGTAACTTATGCCGATTGGCAAATCCTTTCACTACGATGGCAAGCATAGTAATGTATGCTATCGATATGATAAGAAGAAGATTATAATGCAAAGTGCCAGACAATCACACAAATAACCTGATCTCTTAGAGGCTAAGCTAAACCAACCTAACCTAAGGCGCTCAATCAGCTCGAGTTCTATTAGACTTTTAGTAGCAGTAGAGTGTAATAGAGTAGAGAGTAGAGAGTCCTTGTGAAAGAGTTCGTCCAGGGTAGTACTGCCA